CAGAAAAGTGCTACACATCAAAGTTATGTTTTTTTAAATGGGACACCCTGTATTTTATTGAATTTTTGAATTCTAAGAACAAAATAAGTGTCACTTTGTTAGAGGTTTATTATACTTAGAATCTACCGTTTTTGATATATCCAAGTATTTTTAAAAATAAGGGATGTTTAAAACATGCCAATAACTCCTAAATTTCCTAATATTTAAAATTAATTTTTTTATGAAAGATTAAGAATTAATTGTACTCTAAAATCAAATACTTACTATTCAAAAATATTTTACAGGGTGTTTGCGAATTAGATGTTTATTATTGGTACATTTAAACATTAAAAACTGCTCTATTTTAAATGTGACACCCAGTATATTTTTTAATTTTATGAAAGATATTTCAAATACCTTTCAAAAAGTATAAATATTCCCTATACCCATATTCGACAGTTTTGGATATAAAACCAAAATTGTTATTTAAAATTAAATTTTCATAAAAAATTAATTATACTTAAAAAAAAAACAAAAATCAATCCACATAAATTTAATGGTGCTTAACAAAAAGTGTAGGCTGCTAGTTTCGGACTATGCCATCATCAGGCTTAACAATAATAAAATTATATCTGGAGTTAGTTGATCGTTTAAGAATATTAGTAGGTTCATCAAAATCATCAAGTTTTAATGTATGTACTTTACAGAAACAAGTGTTCGCTTACTTAGATGTATAATGTATTTTGTGCATAAAATAATTTAACAAAATATCAAACCTTTTTGACTTACCAAAATATTAAATAAAATAAAAAAAATCTCAAATTACATTCTTAAAATAAAAAATATTACTGAAGAGTTATGGGATTGAATATTAAAATAACAAGAAACTATTTTTGGATTTACTATGACAAAAATAAATAATAGAAAGATAATAAAAGCTGGCTTACTAGCAGACAAAGGCAAACAGGAAGAAGGAAGAAAGATCAGTAATATTAATACAAAGATGTTCTTAGTCTAATAAATGTTCAAAATGATGACCATCTGTTTGAATACACAGTGTAATTCTCCGTTGAAAAAAACTTTGTACTCTTCTTAACATATCCGGAGTAATTGCTTCAAAAGCATTCTTAATTCTTTGCTTCATATCTTCTGCTGTGGTGGGTGGGGTGCTGAACACAAGATTTTTAATGTAACCCCATAGGAAAAAATCCAGTGGATTTAAACATGGTGATCTAGGTGGCCAGTGACCACCTAGGTCACTGGCCACCTAGATCACCATGTTCACCACTGAGGAAATTTAAGGTCTAAGTAATCTCTCACATTACGCGCAAAATAAGCCGGAGCACCATCTAATTGTAGCCACATTTGTTGCCTAACATTCAATGGTACATTTTCGAGAAGCAACCAAAAATCTGATCGAAGAAACCTCAAAAAATTATCGCCATTTAAATGTCCATAAATAAAATATGGGCCTATAACTTTATTCCCAATAATTCCTCCAAAAACATTAAGGCTCCATCTATTTTGGCGGTCAACAGTTCTAAATAGGTGCTGATTTTCAGTGTCGTAATAATGGAAGTTATGGCGATTTACTAGGCCATTGTTGTTGATTGTACACTCGTCTGTAAATAAAACAAAATCGAAAAAATCTATGTTTTGTCCTACCTCTTCTAGTGCCCAAAAAATAAAATCTAGGCGTTGTTGAAAATCGGTTCCATATAAATGTTGATGGAATTCAATATGGTATGGTCGGTGTTTCTTGAAAATTCTCCTTACACTGGTTCTGGGTATGTCTATTTGATTTGAAATTTTTCTACCCCTAGTGTTAGCATCCTCTGCTATTGAAGCTAATACATTAAATTCGTTTTCTTCATTGTCAATGACAGGTTTATTCGGAGTTTGTTTTGAATATGCAACACTACCTGTTGTACGAAACCAATCTAAAATTCGTTCTAGTGTTCTCTTATCTGGTCGATCCCTATTTGAGTACTTCTGGGCATAAACCCTTGCCGCTAAAAAATAGTTTTTGTTACATTCACCTATGGTGAGAATCATATCTGCCCGTTCTTGAATGGAATATTGCTTCATTTTTTTTTATACCAAAATAAACTAAATAAAAATAATGTAATATAAAATAGCACACTAGTGTGTAAACTGACAGTTAGTTGACTAATTCTTTGTTATGAGGAGTACGTTTTGTATACAATTCTAAATGTCTAAAACTATGTATGTAATATAAAATAGTACAACAGTTTGTAAACTGACAGTTCATAGCTATCTTGGTTAAAGAAATTTATTTATTTGTTATAAAGTATAGCTATCACAGAACTTTGGTTTTATATCCAAAACTGTCGAATATGGGTATAGGGAATATTTATATTTTTTGAAAGGTATTTGAAATATCTTTCATAAAATTAAAAAATATACTGGGTGTTACATTTAAAATAGAGCAGTTTTTAATGTTTAAATATGCCACTAATAAATATTTAATTCTCAAACACCCTGTAAAATATTTTTGAATAGTAAGTATTTGATTTTAGAGTACAATTAATTCTTAATCTTCCATAAAAAAATTAATTTTAAATATTAGGAAATTTAGGAGTTATTAGCATGTTTTAAACATCCCTTATTTTTAAAAATACTTGGATATATCAAAAACGGTAGACTCTAGGTATAACAAACCTTTAACAAAGTGACACTTATTTTGTTCTTAGAATTCAAAAATGCAATAAAATACAGGGTGTCCCATTTAAAAAACATAACTTTGGTGTGAAGCACTTTCCTGGAGCACCCTGTATAATTGAAATTATTTTTAAAAAGTAGCTTTTTTGGATATAGGTCTCGTAATGAAAATGAATTTTTGAAAATAAAATTTGTTTCGGCTGTACAGACCGAGGCGTTACCGGCGGCCCACCCTGTATATATATATATATATATATTTATATATATATATATATATATATATATATATATATATATATATATATGTATATATAGTGTTAATCACAGCTGCTAGGTTAAAAAATAAAGTAAACAATAAGACTCTTTGGGTACAAACAGCTGAAAGGATAGGCTAAGTGTACTCTTTAGTCCTTTATTAATCAAATATTTCGTCGATAGTCATCGACATCATCAGGATGAGCTACAAATAGTTTCACATGAAAATGGACAATCTAGTTTAATTAAGTTGATGTTACTTACCATTTTGAGAATATTGCCGTAAAAGCTGGTCAAAGTTGTAAAAATTTTTTTGTGAAAAATTGTATGTTTTTTTCACAAAAAGAAAAACATGTAATGTAAATTTACAAAAACTGTTTCTCCTTTATCAAGTTAATATGCTCTTTTCCTAACTTGGCTGCACCGTACTGAAGACGACCAATAGTCAGAAATACCAATACACCATCTTATACACATATATTATTATATATTTTTTTCCTTTGTTGCAATGCCATCTTTTACCTTTATTATTATATATATATATATATATATATATATATATATATATATATATATATATATATATATACCCTGTCCATCAATTATCAAACATTACAATGCACATATGGGTGGCGTAGATTTGGCAGATATGCTAGTTGCGCGTTATCGAACACCTTTTAAAAGCCACAGGTGGTACCTTTCAATTTTTTCCCAAATACTGGATATATGTGTCAACAACGCTTGGATTTTATATCGCGGAGATAATAATTTACTGGAGGACGAAGAAAATGGTATGGGTCTAAAGGAATTTAGAATATTACTTGTCGATTCCCTTCTATTTAAAAATTGAAAGAGGAGATCCGACGGAATTAATACACCGAAAAAAAAAGATTCCTACTCACGTCCAGAATATACCTGGAGAAGATGTTAGAAAAGATCTTTTTGGACACTTTTTTGCAACTTTTACAACCAAAGGACGATGTCGAAACTGTTGCAAAGGACAAACAACTATGAGTTGTTCAAAATGTAGAGCGAGGTTATGTTTAGTGGAATCCCGTAATTGTTTTTATGATTTTCATAACTAAATTTTTTAATTTTTTAACAAATTATAATTATTATTTTTTACTTTTATTTTTTGAGTGTTCTAAGTTTTATTTAAAGTTTTGAATTTAAGCTGTAAAAATAAATGTTTGATCATCTTTGTAGTTTATTGAATAAACTAAATGATAAAATATTGTTATGTTACTAAAAGTAAATGATAAAATATTATGTTTATGGTTTAAACCCCTACTTTATGGTATCTGTTCATAATAACTGAAATAAAACACAGTTCCACAAAATGTAGTAAAAACATTAAACATATCTACAATTGTTTTGCTAAAAGTCTTGATAATGCTAAAGACCCTTAGCGAAAAAATTGTAGATTTGTTTAATGTTTTTATTATATTTTGGGAAAATTTGATAATTTCCATTTAATCCAACATTACTTAATATATTGGTCCAAACGACAAATATACGTCTTGGCAATGTATCTATCTAGATACGGAGGTATTTTTCTAATAACCTGGCAATGTATCTAGTGGTCATCAGTACTTAATTTATAGTATACCTGGCAATGTGTCTTGCGAGATACATTGTAATATACCGTACGCCTGGCAGTGTATCTTATGAGATACAACGTCAATAAAATGTCAAAAAAATTAAAATAGAAACAAAAATGTAATTGACTCTGAAAATGGAGTCCTCAAAAGATAATATTCAGTAAGCAAAAACATTTTTCTTACAGCGGTTATGTGCGTGCCAAGTTAAGGGTTAAGCTCGCATCTATAGTGTGTTTGTTTTCAAAATTTATCTCTAATATCTTCCATCTATATGTTTGTGGGTCTAATACAGCCAAATTATCTAGGAAATAGAAACACAAAATTTGAAAAATTGAATTAATAGAAGAAATCCTAAAGTAACTCAAACGATTAAGCTTTTACAAGTCAACATTAGGCATATCGAAATCATCTTTAAAAATTCTTATACTTAATATATTAATATTTTTTTAAGTCATAGTGTGTCTGTGTTTCATTATTTCTTACCAGCAAAGGAAGTAAAATCATAAATAATGCGTATGTAACTTTATCAAATTCGTTTATATTTTTAATCATGTATGTCAGTACTCCATAGAAGACAAAAATATTAAGGCATACTATAATAATGCAGGAACCAATCAAGACTTTGTGATTGTCTGAAGCAGGCCATATTAACATAGCTCGAAAGGTTAGCTCTGCACATCGCAACATTAGTTGGCCGTAGTCGTTGGTTCTCGGAAAAAGCCAGTTATAATCTAAAAATTAATAAAAAAATATGATAATACCAACTAATAAAAAAATAGATCGGATAAAAAGACGAGAGCTGTCTTGAAACGCCTTAGGAAAATCTTATAATTTGTACCTAAATGCTAATATATTATACATATTGTTACGAAAGATTTATCCCACATAGGAAAAGTCCATTGACGAAAAAGAAGAAGTAGTTCTTCATTCAAGATGACATCGAAAATTCTTGAAATGTCTAGTGAAGTTTGGAACGTCAGAAAATATATATATATATATATATATATATATATATATTATATATATATATATATATATATATATATATATTGTTATGATGTTTTGATTTGAATATGAGCAATGAGTGTTTAAAATAAAATATATGAGTATAGGGTTTTTATCGCGGTTTTCAAAGAATTATTTTGTAAGTACTTTTTAAATTATCTTTATTATAACTATTATGAAACAGACATATATCTAATATAAACAATATAAATTTAAAACAACCTATCTAAATTTGAAATTCTTACAATTATTAAATTATATTAACAAAATTTGGTACCTTTCTGTCACTGAACGCCTAAAGTTTTTCAAAATCAAAGTTATAATCACCACTAAATATCTTCTTAATCAGCTTCGGTTGTCCTTGTATTTGTGAAATTGCATATAGATATTATAATATAAAATTCTGGTAATCTCCATACAATATATTATACTCCTGTATTGAAATGTCTATATTGAATTAATTTACTCTCCAACTGTATCTGACTTAATGAATTCTTCCAAGATAATCCTTTCTTCTTATTTAATTTAATTATAACTGTCTTGAACTTAACTTTCTTGATAAATCTAATTTAACGACTTAATTGTACCTGACTGACTGACTTAATGTAATTTAATTCTTTAAATTCTTCTAACTAATTCACTTAGTAATTGACTGTAACTGATTAATTGACTGTAACTTAATGACTTCCTGTAATTTAATGATCTAACTTTACTAACTTCACGAATCCACTGTCATCATCAGTTGGCGCTACAGCCCTTCGTGAGCCTTGGCCTGCTTCAAAACATTCTTCCATCCTTCAATATCGAGTGTCTGTCTTCTCCAGCCCCTCACTCCAATCTCCCTCAGATCTTCCTGTACATCGTCCAGATATCTGAGTTTAGGCCGCCCCCTTCTTCTTCTTCCGTAACTGTAACTTACTTAATAATCCCCCCTTCCTCCAAATTATATCATTTATATATCTTTTCATGGTTCCAGAATGATCGGGAAAGAAATCATGTTCTAAACTTTTCATCTCATCCATAGATGAAAGTTCTGGAATCATCAACTATGCAAATAGGATTAACTGTCTTGTGTATTGACGCTTTCCAGAAGATTCTAGTGAAAAACTTATAGACATTTAGGCTTTTCAGATCAGAATTCACTATTATATATACAAACTAAATATCTTACACTAATATACTACTATTTGACATCCGTAATTATATTTAAATTAAAATCCCAAACTAATATTTATGTCAAAAATGTAAAAATGTCAAATAATATAGTGTATATTTGGTTGACTATGCACAAGGCTCACTTAAATATATTTATTTATAGAATAAAATAAAATAAAAATTTTTTAAAACTTAATCCTATGCTAAATTTTCAAAAATACCCTCATATGATTAATTTTTTAATAATATTCGCTAGTATATAACTTATAATTTATTTCTTTTACCACTATTTAAGTAAGTTTATTAATTAAACATCATAATATTACTATGCTAATTTCTTGTATATCTAATTATTATTATTCCAATATATATATATATATATATATATATATATATATATAAACTAAAGTTTTATTTTATAAAAATATAATTTAGGAAAAATTAATAATGTTTTGTGAATTTAATAATTTAATGGTTTAACCTCATGTTGTAAGTTTTTATATAGTTTTATACAATGTTTTTCTTAATTCTAATTTCATTGTATTTACCATAACATATTTTAGCATATCCTGATGAAGCAAATAAATTTTGCGAAAGCTTGATTTAAGAACAAAGAGTTTTACTTATCCTGCCCTACTTAAATGACTGCATCCTCAAAATAAAACTTTAGTTTACATAACGTGTCAGTCAATAATACCTAACTACTTTATATATATATATATATATATATATATATATATATATATATATATATATATATATATATATATATAATATTAATTAGTATATTGTTCATGTATTATTATAATAATATCTTATTGAGATGTATCTAAGAAAAGCAAGGGAATGTTATCTTTTTTAGTTAATGAAAATTATTATTAAAGTAGGTTAGTTGTTAAGATATATCAGTCAAGTTAGTTATCTGTGATGTTATATTGTTCTTGGTATCTGATTTAAGTAAGAAGTGGTATATATCGCTTAGATTCTTAATGTCACTCTTAACATTGATGGAAAAATCGTTAAGGAAAATATAAGACATTTCAATGAACTCTCTTTTAGATTTATTGTTCTCACGGTGAAGAATTGTAGTGTTCGTATAGTCCATGTGATGACCAGTGGAATGGACATGTTTGGCTAATGCACAACGGTCAGGGTAAAGTCGAGATTCACTTTTGTGTAGTATAATACGTGATTTCAATAATTGAGATGTTTGGCCGATGTAGGAATTGCTACAAGAGAGGCATGAAATGTTGTAGACAATATTACTAAGGCTATCTATGGGAGTCTTATCTTTTATCTTCGAATAAAGATTATTAATTGTTAGGGCTGATCTACAAGCCACATTAAGTTTAATGTTATTATTATTATTCCCAAAGCTATTTTCAAAACCTTTTAGAATCCTTGTTAACCCTGGAGTGATATCTCTGAAATAGGGCAATGAAAAATATTTATTGATAGGAGTATCCGAGACTGGGTTCCTACTTAAGACATCAGGATCAGCATTGTAAGTCACGATGGAAGGTGAAGTATCTTCGTTATGGATAGTGTTAAACAAAATCTTATTTACTAATGGTGTTGGATAAGAGTTTGAAATAAAAAGTTTCAGAAGGATTTGTAGGTTTTTTGTATGAAATGAAGGATCTGATAGTTTAATTACTCTATTTTTCATCTGTTTGATTAAGTTGACTTTGGTAGAGTTATTATGGTGAGAGTGGTAGTTAAGGTATCTACCAGAATGTGTCGGTTTTTGATACCAATCTATTTTAATGTTGTTGTTTTCCCTAATCATCCTTATGTCGAGAAAGGGGACGGAACAATTACCATCTTCCCTCTCTATAGTGAACTGGATGTAGGGGTCATAACTATTAAAGGTGTCTAATAGTTCATCTACCTTGTCATTGGGTATAGCCAAAATTATATCATCAACATATTTTTTAATAAATGGAATTTGAAAGGATAGTAAAGGAATGACTGAGTCTAACACATAATCCATAACGTAAGTTGCAATAATAGGAGAAATCTTTGCTCCCATAGGGGTACCGAAAGTTTGTTGATAGAATTTACCATTAAAAGAGAAGTAAGTGTTATTAAAGAGAAATTCAACGATACTGATGAATCTGTCATAAGACATGGAACAACAACCTCTAATACGGTCCCAGTTGATCTCTATTGATGTCAAACATATTATAATCTATATATATATATATATATATATATATATATATATATATATATATATATATATATATAAAGATGTTTTTGACAGTTGGAGAACAGTTGTATTTTGAATGTTGAAGTTTATAGTTGTCAGTTAGTTAAAAGTATTGTAATATTGTATAATAATATTGTATATGGTGTTGAATAAAGTTTTCAAGAAAGAAATTTTCAAGAAGTGTAACATTGGTGACAGCGATGGGATAAAGAAATATTTAGCAGTTATTAATGGTAAATACAAGATCCACTGAGTTTGACGAAGAAATGGATATGTCCCGACCCCCTGCATGGTTTTTCTAAAAAAGAAAGATAATGACTTAAATGTCATACGAGAATGGCTTCAAAATGGAGTAAGATCTATTTGGCAGGAAATAACCAAATACAGTTTAACATGGTTTAACTATAAAAGCGTACTGGGCTCAATGGGAATCTCTGTATTTTTCCAATGGTCTATTATATCGGAAGTGGGAAAGTCCCGATGTAGTACGTATAGTTGAACAAGTGGTACTGCCGAAATCACACATTAAGACTGTGTTGCAAGAACTTCATAGCAGCCTTTCTGGCGGACATTTTGGAGTCAAAAGAACACTGGTTAGAGTTCGAGACAGATTTTACTGGATAAATTTTCGCCGAGATGTAGAAGATTGGTGTAGGAAATGCGATTTATGTAATGGTAAAAAGGGCCCTAGAACAAGAAGTCGTGGTAAAATGGCACAATATCTTTCGGGAAGCCTTTTGAACGATTTGCAGTGGCTATTCTTGGTCCACTTCCGATGACAAATTGCGTGATTGGATATATAGTCCATTGAAAAGTTACATTAGAATTGTAATTTTGGGAGTACGCAATTTAATTTTTTTTATGTATTGAGGGTAAGAATAAGCTTAAGTTAAGATTTGTAGGATCGCCACTCTTGTCTCCCGGCCGCCATCTTGGTATACGGGGTGCGGCGGCTTTTCGCTCATTATCTCGTAAACCAGAAATTTTATTAGACATTATTTGCAGCAAATTAAATTGTCTACAACTTTATTCCTATTACTTTTATTCGTAAAATAAAAAAAAAGTATAAACAAAAATAACTAAACATTTTTGAACAAAATTTCTTTTAGGTTTTACTACTTTTTTCTAGACATTTCTATACTATAAAAAACGAACCATTAGGCTTAGTTTTTTATTGTATATATTTTTTATTCATATGATTTATCATTTTGTTAACGTTCTCATGTTATTATTAGTTTATTATCCACTTTTTTCCCGACCACCTATGAACTATCATCTAGAGGCGCGTTTTTTAAGTGGTATCCCTATTAGGCCGAAGCCACATCAATTTTCAGGCGAAATAATATTGAGCTTAAATATATATTTAAAAAGCTGTTTTCCAGCTATTGTATTTTTATTTTCTTTGATGGTCTGGGCTGCGGTTCAGAATTTAATACAGTATCAAAGTGCAATGTTTGAGGAAGAACGGGAGTTAGAATTGGCGTTATTATAGGTAATTCATCTCCGAATTTTGATATTTTCATGATGTTTTTGCAGGTTTCACCAGAACAATTATTAAGGCACACTGCAGAACATTTAAGGCCCGTTTTTCGGCAACCACACATACTTCCACAATTTACCTTGCATCTACAGAAAATTAATTACAGAAGTTCGGGGGTAATGGAGTCTTAAAAGTTTTGATTGGTATCCAAATTTGTCCATACTTTTTCCAGCTCCAATCGTCACGATCGCAGCGTTTCGTGGTGACTAAGACAGTGAATCAGCCGCATCTTGTGTTTGCGGAAGCGATGATGAGTTAAATGTATTTTTGGTCACTGTTTTGGAGAATCGTTTGTATCACATGATTTCAGAGAATCATCTTTATTTTCACCATATAAAAAAATAACGAAAAAAGGTTGGCCAACGACAGTGAGCAAAAATGGCTTTACTATCTCACTGAGAAGTAATGCTGTTCCGCTACTCATATTATTTCTGTAAAATGTTAATAAGTTTAGGTTTGCCGATCTTGTATGTTTCTAATGTTGTGTCGCATCCTAAAAAAGCATGAAGAAACAGCTAAATCTCTGTAATAACATCGCCATATATAAAACTTAAATGGCAGTATAATTGATGCGAGTTACACTCTTTTGAAAGTTTAAAAAAATTGAATACTTTGGACATACAACATTGAACTGCTTTCTTTTTAATGCCGTGAGTAAGATAAAAATGTTCATGTTCTGAACTACAGTCACAGAGTAATAGGAATGGAATGCAACAAGCGCAGAACGGTGGATGACCTGATAACTATATCTGCATCAGATTTAGACTGGTCTACACTAACACCCACTTCTGATATAGCAGTTTTAAGAATGTCTATTATTTATCTTGTGATTAGGTTGGTAAGGTACTTTTATTATACTTTATCTTTGTCGATTGGTGAGGTGAGGTGAGGTACGTTTTTTGGTGGTGGAATGGGGCGATAATAAATTAATAATAATCCAAGAATATTAGGAAAATAATAGATTGATTTAAAATGATATGAATAAAAAAAATATAATAAAAAAACAAGTACAACGGTTCGTTTTTAACATGTTTTTACGGGTAATAAAAAGACCAGTTAATTTCGAAGCGCTTTAAAACCCAGAAAAATGTATGAAATTAAACAAATTAGTAGTGAAAATTATTCTTTGAAAACGTTTTGGCAATATTCTTGAATTAAAATTTAAAGAACCTGTTCAATCATGTATTTCTTCCTACATATCACTCACATTTCTGTTAAAAAAATATCGATGTCCTTATCACGCTTACATAGATGACATCCATAATAAAACAGTAATCTAATAAAAAACTTCATTAAACAATGCACAAATTGGAAACAGAGCAAAAACGATTACAAGCCACAAAGAATGTGTTAAAAAGAAAATGAATTGTTTTTCCAATTCTAAAAAGATCGTGTGGGATACTTCTCAATCAAGGGCCCAAGGTTGAGAACATCTAATTGCTTCGATTGCGGGAAAAATTAGGACGAGTTTTAGGACAGGATTATTTAAAAACCTTGGCTCATACATAACGAAAAATTTTTACACTTGATCGAAAAATTGCCTCCAGGATACAGGCTGGTTGGTTTAACTGGAAGCAAATGAGCGAGGTATTCTGTGATCGAAAAATCGTGGAAGGGCCGAAAGGAAATAAATACAAGAGTGTGGTGAGACCTTCGTTGGTGTAGAAAAAGAAGATAGGGGTAGCTGAAATAAAAATGTTACGATGGATGTTGGAAAGACTAGAAAGGACAAGATCAGGAACGACAAGATAAGGGAAAGAGCCGGAATAACTACAGACTCAAAAAAGATTCAACAACAAAGACTGTAATAGTTTGGTCACGTTATACGAACAAATAAGAACTACGTGGGACGAAGGATAGAACTTTTAATATTTAAGGGAAAGAACCGTAGAGCAAAATCGAGTAGAAGATAGAAGGACTGTGTGACAGAGTACTTGAGAGAACAAGAATCGAATGACGAAGATCCAACGAACAGCAACCTCTAAACAGGGAAAAGCGTAGAAGGATGAATAAGAAAATGGATGACGTGAAAGAGAAGAAATTCTACAAAACTAACATAAGGTCAGGTATAATAAAGGAAACGGAATATTGGGATTTAAAAAGAAAGTGTGTGTATGTACACACACACACATACACACACACCACACACACACACACACACACACACACACACACACACACACACACACACACACCACACTCAACGTCTTAGTCAAGGAGGGGAGCCGTTTCCTACCAACTTAAAGAATTACAAATACCTAAGTAGGTAATGGATGGATTCGACCGTTACTTGATGGAAATTCATTTTATGTAACAATAAAACACTGAAAACTTTGTTTTCAAACTTCCACAAAATTTATTTTTAATCTTATCACTATAGCTGTTTCGGCTGATTGCCTTTCTCAAGTGATCTATTTTTGGCTTGGGTTTACAAATTTATAGTCTCTAATGAAATAGGTTGAGTTTTGAAATCATCATCTAGAGACAAAGATTTCAAAGCATCCCGTATTCAAACAGATTTTGTATTGGTGGAGATATGTAGACGACGTGCTGGTATGTTTTACAGGAACTAACAGGCAACTCGACCAATTTTTATCGTATATTAATTCACTTCATAGTCATATTGAATTTACAATAGAAATAGAACAAAATCAATCCATAAATATTTTAGATTTAAAAATTAGCAGACTTCAAAACAAACATGACTTCTCCATATTTCATAAACCTACCCATACTGACACGACTATACACAATTCATCATCCCGTCCAACACAACATAAACTGGCAGCTTGTCATAGTGTGTTACATAGATTAATAGAAATTCCGATGTCAAAATACAACTTTGAGACAGAATTAAATATAATTAAGCAAATAGCAGTAAATAACGGATACAACGAACAAACAATTAATAAAATGTTAAATCAAATACTACACAAGAAAGCCCTGAAATTAGTATTTCCACCACCAGAGGAAAAACCCAGTACCTTCTGCTCGATTACATATACAGTCAAAATAACAACAAAAATTGCCAAGCACATAAAAAAGAAAGGAATAACACCAGCTTTCCGGACAAATAACAATCTAGGCAAATATATTAAAAATAACAAGAGCCTAAATAATAAACACTTAAATAGTGGTATGTACAAACTTCAATGTGGCGACTGCCCAAAAACTTACATCGGTCAAACTGGTAGAAACTTTGATAAAAGAATAGCAGAACATAAAAGGGCTTTCAAGAATAGAAAAACAGATTCGACATACGCACTTCACCTTCTAGATCATAATCATTCTTTTAATGACAAATTTAAAATTCTTCACATTCAAAATAAAGTCCTTAAGCTATCTTTGTTAGAATCTATGGAAATCAACAAATTAAAAAACACAGATATAATTCTGAATGACCAACTTGAAACAAACAGTTCTTCCCTCCTCAACCTATTTCATTAGGGACTATAAATTTGTAAACCAAAGCCAAAAATAGATCACTTGAGAAAGGCAATCAGCCGAAACAGCTGTAGTGATAAGATTTTAAATAAATTTTGTGGAAGTTTAAAAACAAAGTTTTCAGTGTTTTATTGTTACCTAAGTATGTATTTAATGAATATTAATGATTTGAATTTTAGTTAGAATTATTTAAGAATAAACTGACGGACTCGTTACTAGGCTAGGAGTTGCAGCAATTGATCGTAAAATGAATATGCTACAATGAAAAAGTTAATATACTTCGGATATATTCATCGTCGAGACGGTTATCACCCAATACGAACAATTGCTAATTGGCTACTACCTGGAAAAAGTAGGAGGGATAGCTTATGTAGAAATGTAATTATGAAAGCATATAGGAATAACGGCAAAGAGAATGACGACAATAAAATGGGAATGAGAATAATAAGGAACTGTATTACAACAAAGGTGTACTGCCAATATTCAGTACTATTAAAATATACTTAAAAAACATATGAAACACATGATAGAAAAACGCAAGGGAATAAAGATACCAGTTGGAAAAGAAATTATTGTTATATACAAATCTGAGAAGTTAGAGGTAGATCAGATAAAGCAAAAAATACACAAACAAGATTCATATTTAAAAGCTGAAAAAAAATCATTCAAATTGATAAAATAGACAGAAAAAAAAATAAAATACAGTTGAAACAGCGGACCTAATGCCAAGAAACAGAAAGTCATCTAGAGCAACTATTAATGAGGGAGCTTATTTCAAATACGACTTTTAAAAAACGATTAGTCTATAAACATTGAATAAGAAAAATTACACGATACTTACTTATTACAACCATTCTGTCTTTCTCGAAAATATCTATTAGACAACAATTATCTCTAAAACTCTCTAAAAATTTATAATCTCTTATAATTATTAAAAATATATCTATCATGTCAACGAAAAAACATAAGCATGTTATATTTAAATATATACAAATTGTCCCCAAAAAATCGGAGGAATTTAAAAATAAATGTGAATTTTGTACATGTATGTAAATAGACTCAATTTATTGTTCTGAAGCTATTTTTTTGCGGCATTGTAAATTACATATTAAGGTTGATCTTCACCCTCGATTAATTTGTTTCTGATCCTAGAGATGGCTGTACTGCGGCATGCTACTGTGGTAAATTTTTTAACTTAATTGTAGATTTCTACATGACGACTCTGTAATATTTTCAAATCCTAACATAAATTGCAGTTTTCTGTCATTATATCAATTGGCTGAGTTGCCAAGTTGTGTAGACAGTAATTTTATCAAATATATGCTATAACTTATATGGTTACTAGTAGACCAACTAAGCAAAGATATCTTATGACAACATCTTTATGTATAATACTTTACTGTTCTGCTATGTCAGTCGGAATATAATATACCAAATTCATTCATTATCTAAACAATGTTACCGACAAAGATATTAAGTGTGTTGCGGCTTTCTTTGTCAATATCATATTACCATTAAATTCGTACATCATATTATATTACATTTTTGTTGATAGTTAAAAATTAAATGATCTGGTATTATGATTATGTAATATTTTAGTGGGAAATAACAAAAATGTTATTTAAATCTATTACTATCTCAGGAAGGTAAGGAATTGTATGGTAAGCTCAGGAATCTGCTCATGTCTCTCATTAGGGACTTGATCAACATTTACCTCTTGGTGTTTTTGAAACTATTTAAACTAGTAGCTTCTACTATGTCATCACTTAAACCGTTTAATTTATCAAAAACTCGGTTAACTAAAAAGTTTTGCCTTAAGGTGGTTTTAAAATACTCCTTTTTCAATTTATAGTTATGACCTCTTAGTTTACCACCCCCCTCCAAAATTCCCCACTAAGAATTCTGTAAGTAGATATGACATCATATCTTTCTCGTCTAAGAGTTAATGGAGACAACTTAAGCTTTCTTAGTCGGGTTTCATAGTCTAATCTTCCATAATTAAAAGGTAGCTAGGTAGCTCTTCGTTGTACTCCTTCTAATAAATTAATGTCTTTTTGCAAATGAGGTGACCAAACTGACACTACCAATTCTAGGTGAGGTCTGACATAACTTTTGTAGAATTTCAAAAACAAGTCTTGAGATATTCTGTGAAAAGCTTTTGTGATAAATAATAAAGCAGAGTTCGCTTCACTAACTACTTTTGGTGTTTGAGTAGACCGACTTATTGTTTGGTTGACCGTAACACTAAAATTATTAACTTCCCGTACCGATTTCAGAGGAACTTCATCCCAAAAATATGTATATCGGAATTAGAAGATGTAAATGACAAAAAGTCAGAAAACTTGGCATGTAAAGAAGCAATATTAGTCCAAAAATATTTATTGTTCTCAACTCTATTTGTTTTTTGCGGCATTTTGTTGGTTAGTACTAATAATAGTTGGAACTTTATTATTGTTAGTTCCTTGTTAAGTAGATTACGTTTTTCCAGTTCCTCTCGCACTTTATTCAAATAGTTTATTTGATTATTAGTTAAGTCATCCTTCAATTGAATTCTAGAAAATTTGGTTCCTAACAACCTCATATTATTGCGCAACATGTATAACTTTTTCTTGTGCAATATCTAGACCTTGAATCATCATTATTATCATTTAACCCGGATCTATCTACTGCTGGATATAGGTCTCCCTCAGTCTTTTCCATGTATTTCTGTTTTGTGCTGTTTGCATCCAATTTTTGTCGATCCGTTTTATGTCATCAGACCATCTTGTTGGTGGACGACCTCTACTTCGATGTGCTTCTTGTCTCGGTCTCCACTGTATTATTTGCTGTGTCCATCTGTTATCCGACATTCTAGCTATGTGCCCCGCCCAGCTCCACTTAAGGGTCATAATTCTTTCTATGGCATCTGTCACTCCTGTTCTCCGTCTTATTTCCTTGTTCGTGATCCGATCCCTACGAGAAATGCCCAACATCGATCGTTCCATGGCTCTTTGGGTAACACAAATTTTATTTCTTACTTTCTTGGTTAGTGTTAATGTATCTGCACCATATGTAAGTACTGGCAACACGCACTGATTAAAGAAGACAGAAGACATTGTATATGAATCGGTAAATTGTATGACATACAACTAAGAAAATTTTTATTTTTAACAATCGACAACTTACAATTTCGACATTTGTTCATCTTTTATTGAGTTGCTGAAACTTGACTAGCCCAATATTTTATTGCTGCTAATGACTTTTCACATTTCGGCTCTATAAGCTACAGGTAAAAGTACGGATAATAGCAGACAATAATTATTGATTTTTTTAACACTTAATATTTAAACAGTTAGTAGTAAATAATTGAAAAACCATACACCCTTTAACTCTAATATGAGTTTGTTATCACTTACCACTTTTGAATATTTTAAAATTAATTAAGCAACTCTTTTTATGTGAATTTTACGCAGCAATATAAACACCGACCAGATTCGATCTCCTTTTGAATCATATCCTAATATTATTTAAAAACAAACTAAAAACCTACACACATATTTATATCATTAGAACCGTAATTGAAAATCCTATAAAATGGTAAAATGATATATACAAAGAGTATAATAATACACATTTCTCTAGAAGTGACAAATTAATATTTAGACAGTTGTATTACTTATTGGCTATTATGCCTATATTATTTCTTGCGAAAGTTGAAGAAAATTAAAACAAGATAAACTTTCATAATCTTAGCAAGTGAGAATCACTTTTAAAATTTTATTAGTTCGAGTTATAACCGTTGTAACAATTAAGTACTAGGACATTCAACAGGGCAGTCCAAAAAAAAAAAAATATCTTTGAGTGAGAATAACATTGTAATAGTAGTTATCTACCAGAAACTGAAACACTAAAACTAACGCTAATACTAATATAAAAATTACCACTAATACGTTATGCAAGGAACACTATTGTATATAAATACTAAAAGAATTTACTAAAAACGCCTAAATAGGTTTTTAAAACTAAATAAGCTTTTTATAGATATATTACTTATAGAGTGTAAATTTTATGATATCCGGTTGCAGTATCTATTATTCTGTAAGTTTCAGCGTGACCAGTTCAAAATTCAAACCCATAACATTCCTACTAAGTTTTGTTATAATCTGCCAAATTGTTGTACAAAGTAATTGATACGGCAACCCTGCTACTATGTCGTTTCGTTTGAAGCGTTTCGCAGCCGAACGTAATGCTATCTATCGATGATAAATACTACCACTGTTTCAGATGGAGCCATCTCCCTACATTGCACATTTGAAGGCGGCGGTTCAAGATACAATTCTTGTTTAACGAGATTTTTCATATGTTTAGGAAAAAATATTTAAACTTTTATTGAAAATATTTTCCACTTTTACAGTTTTATATATGTTGTTATTAAAAAAATTTTTGGTTTTTTACCGGAAGCTGTATTATAAGCAGAAACATATTATTTTTTCCTATTGGGACAAAACTGTAAATTCAAAAATTTTCAAAAAATTCCAAAGTATTTCTTATAATTATATCTTGATGCTGTAAAAAAATGAACAAAATTATATTTCTGGTTTTCCCGCTTTATACTTGGAAAAAAGTAGTTTTTTTGAGTTTTTTTTAAAACGAAAACATGAAGTTTGCTTAAAAGTTGTCAAAATACTTCTAGTCATTTCATACACCTTCTCAAATTTTTTCAAATTTTTTGAATTTGGAATTTATTTTTTGGGGGGTGCAGATCAACCTTAAATTACAAAATTACTTGTTCTAACGAAAATTCGTTCTTGGAGGAGAAACATTTGTTAACATCTGTTTTATTAAAAAATGACTATCCTTTATCGTTTATAAATAAGGAATTTTCAACAATCGATCGAATAGAACAGAACAACTTAGAACGAAATCCTACAGCATACACAAGGAATAATATGAGGAAAATAACAATACCGTACATAAAAGGATTATTAGAAAAACTTAAAATGATAGGAAATAAATTCAACATTTCAACAACATTTAAAAAAACAAACACGTTGAGATCTATTTTGTCCAAAACCAAACCTAACAATGAACAAGAAAGGACAAAGAATTGCATTTATAAAATACCTTGTGAATGCGATCAGTTTTATTTAGGTGAATCATCAAGGCCGTTAAATATTAGAATAAGTGAACATCAATCTTATATTAAAAATAGAGAATTTGATAGATCTCAAATATGTAAACACGCATGGGATAATGAACATAGGGTTCAAAGGAATAATTCAAATGTAGTCCTAAAAGAGACGGATGGTAAAAAAGAAAAATCAAAGAAGCGGCTCTAATTATGCTAAATGAGGCCAATTGTGTCGCAAATTCCTCGGCAGAATGTAGTAGGATCTGGTTACCAATATTGAAAGAGGAAGTTATTAATAAGAAAATACCAGTATTAGTAAGTCAGTAACATATAGAGGATACACCATTTATGTTTTTTAAATAACGTAACATATAAAATCAGAATTTTGATGTTTGTTGAAGGTAAACTAAATTCACGAAGAAATACTTACAATGTAGGGATAGTATTATGAGGTTTTTTTCCTGGGTTTTCCCTCATAATTTACTACGGAATCACTAACAGGAGAATTTTACTGTCATCATGTCATGTGTTTGTCATTTTAAAGACGAATTACATGCTATGATTTTTTTGGACGGATATTCTCAAGTTAAAGTTGATTTCATGTAATCGAATGAACTATCTTATAAGTAAAGTCGTCCCATGAGCGCAACTCAACAATATTGGCAATATCATTTTAAAGTCGTCTACTTTAAAATGCATAATGTATGTCTGAATTGTCAATATAAATGAGTCAGATAAAATTAAATTATTAGAAGAATTTTTCACTATGTAACAAAAAACAAAATTTGTTTAATTTACTGTTTGTATTTTGAGAACGATTTCCGAAGTGGAAATTGAAAC